AAAATAAAACATTGTTATTTATGTTTTTAATCCCATGAAGTTGACAAGCCTCATGATGGGTCTATAGCCAAACCATTCAGTAAAGCTTAAATTTAGAGAGAATTAGAGGACTCTGAAACTATACAGCATGCACATGATTGTTTTGAAAAAAGTGTCTCTCTCAGGTTGTTCAGAATTACGTCTATCATTTCTCTATGTGCCTCAATCCTCGTCACTCTGCAATTAGAAAATAATATTTTTAATCACCTGAAGACACAGACCATGTACTGAGAGACGAGATCTCTCTCCAGTGGCTCCTGCCTGATGAAGTTTAACAGGAGTGGATCTCTGGACCATTTCCACACTCACAGTGTTCACCCCTCTGCAGTGATGTGCACACATTAGAGCAGAACTGTGCCGGGTTTGATTGCATTCAACTGTTTTCACCCATAACAGTGAGCAGGTTGAGCATTCAAGTTTTTATTAAAGCTTCTCACTAGAAGGTGTATAAATCATTTGCAGTTCAAGTGGATGCAGGTGATACAGATGAATACTTCTGCAAGGTACAGTTCTTCCATATCCTTTTCTCTCCTAAATCCTAACATTTTCCATGTCCTGCAGTCAGTGTTTGTGCAGCCGAGCCACCCGCGAGACTCCTGGTGTGCTTGAGGGCACTGCTGTCCTCTCTGACTCTCGGTGCTTGTCTGCAGTGATCAAGAATGAGCTGTGGCTGTTCCTCATTCCTGCTGCCCTGGCTCTCATCCTGTGGGCCCTGTTCCTGGAAGAGATGGGCTTCTTTCTGAGACACGTGGTGTCTTCCAAGCGCAGACGCCTCTACCTCTGGATCTTGGGCATGTACCCGGTAATTCCCTCAGCTGACACCTCCTCCCTCTGTGCACTGACCACCCACAACTGTTTCCTCTGCATGCTGCTCATCTGCAGGCATAATGCTGTGAGCATCGAGAGAAGCAGAGAGCTGGCCTGGGAGAAATCCAGACAGAGGCAGCCAGCAGAATCAGATTTTACACAACGCCAGTGAATAGGATTAAAAAAAGTAGAAAAGACATTATTAGCACAGACTGAACAGTGTCCCCACCCCCAGCACCTCTCTGTGTCTCTCTCAGGTGTTCGGAATGACGTCCATCATCGCTCTCTATGTGCCTCGATCCTCATCACTCTGCAATTTCATTGCCTCCCTGTAAGTACCCGTCCCCCTGTTTTACTCTGGCTCTCTTGTCTACCTACTGGTTTCAGACACTTTATGGGAAGCTATCCCGAAGTCTGTGGCCGGGAATGCTTCAGGATGCTCAGTGGAATAAATAGTTTTCCACACTTCAGTGAGGCATCTCAGAGCCTGCTCAGCATTTCCTGTGTTTTAGAGTATGCGTTCTTCCACTCTTTCCAATTCTTATTTTTCTAAAACAAACTCAAGCTGGCGATGATGGCCAGGCTGGGGAGGCGTGTGGATGATAGATTTTCTGCCGATGGCTGGCGCTGAAATGTGTCGATGGCACGGATGTCTCCGGCCTCTGTCTCTGCAGGTACCACTCCATCACGCTGCTGAAGTTCATGGGTCTGATCACAGACTTCTTTGGAGGCAAAGCCAGGATGCTTGAGGTGCTGGAGGGCCAGCAGGTGTCTCCAGACCCCTTCCCCTGCTGCTGCTGCTGCTGCCTGCCCCTGATCTCCATCAACAGGTACTCTGCGGCTCAGGAGGTCGTCCCTGTGAGCTGTGCTGCAGACGTGCTGATAGTGAACAACCTCGCTCAAGGGAACTGGAGTTCTGTTTCATTGTTGTTTAGGCTTCATTGCTCTGACATAGCAGTGGATGAATTCTTCCCGATCTCAGCTGGTTCCCAGGGGGTCGTCTGACCATCAGAACCCCGTGAGGAAGCTCCAGCCCAACAGCAGGTTTCACGCGAAGACGCTCTGATCTCTGAGCAGTCCCCTTTACTGGTGGAGCCACAGATGCTGTTGCTTTCAAGTAAATTTAAAACATAGTAATTAATTAACACCCCTACTCTTTTTGAGAAACATCCTAGATTTTTAATGACCACAGACAGTCAGGACCTCAATTCTATGTCTCATCCAAAGGACAGAGCCTTTTTGCAGTATAGTGTCCCCATCACTATAGTGGGGCATTAGGGCCCACACTGACCTCACGGTGAGCGCCCCCTGCTGGCCCCACTAACACCTCTTCCAGCAGCACCCTTAGTTTTCCCAGGAGTCTCCCATCCAGGTACTGACCAGGCTCACACCTGCTGGGCTCCAGTGGGCTGCCAGCTGTGAGCCGTGAGCTGCAGGGTGATATGGCAGCTGGATTTAGAATGTGAATGTAGTTTAACACTTTGAAAGCTCTTTTGAGTTGTTCAGTCTCCTGCTTTTATCCGGGAGTGTCGGCCGCTTGTCCCTCCCACAGCGGGGTGAGCGGTGTCCAGCTGCAGGGGGGGAGGTGCTGCCGGCCTGGCCCAGGCAGGGCCTCTCCTGCAGCTGATCCCACTCCGGCTCTGGTCCGCAGGTCCAGCCTGGGCTGGATGACGGCTGCGGTGCTGCAGCTCTCCGTGGTGCGCTCCATCCTCTTCTTCGTCACGCTGGTGCTCTGGACGGACGAGAAGTACGACTATGGAGACGTGAGTTCAGACAGCCGCCTCTGTGTCTCGGGCGCCGCAGTGCGGGGGGCTGCTTGGCTGTCCGCTGGCGGGGCCAGTAACACACCCGTGAAGCTGTGAAGTGCAGGCGGTACAGGCTCGAGGAAATGCATGTGTTTGATTGGAGACCTGCCTCGTGAAGGAATCAGTGCTCAGGCTGGGTTGATGTGAACAGTGGAGAGCCACACAGGTCTGTAGCAGGACATCTGCTCTTCCCGATGTATTAATTATCTAAATTCCACTGGGGTAACTGCACCTGCACAGGTGAGGAGGACTGAGGGGTTCATGCTGTTGCATCATGAGTTGCCTCTTGTAGACCAGCAGCTTTCCTGCCGCCTGCAGAAGAGCCCCTCCCACTCTGCTCTCACACCCCTGATCAGAAGTCACGGAAGTAGTTCGGGTCTGTAAACCAAAGATCATAATTTTACACAGCAAGAGACAGAATTTTACATGTATTTTGATTTCACAGTAAAATTACAAATGCATGTGTTTTTGATCATTTACTCTCTAAGAAATCTGGCATGTCCCTCACCCCTCGGGGGCGCATGATCCCCTGGCACTATGGAAAAACAACGGAAAGGTGAAGGAAAGCTAGGAAATGCAGTTAAATGTTAGGTATTTAAATCAAGGGATGGTGAGGCCTGATTTAGAATATATTTTGGTCACCATGATACAAAAAAATATTGCTGCATGTGGACTGGAATCAGTCCAGTGAAAAATAACTGATTCAAGAATTCACCCAGAGAGCCAGCTCAGGATTCTCCGTCAGGAGCGCAGCCCAGTCCCGAGCGTCACGGAAGCCGGGCCTGTCTCCCGGGGAGGGTGATGTTTAGACCCAGTGCGAGGCGAAAAATCCGGAAAGAGGAACATAGGGTTCAGGGAAGACACAAGGGGTTTACTGGTGCTCACAGTGAAGTAGGGAAGTTCGTGCAGGAGTGCGGGGAATATCCGAAGGCAAACATTTCCAAGGAGGTTGAAAGGGGAGTCAGGAAGCAGTCCATAAGTCCATTGCCAGGAGATCCATCAGGAGACGCAGACAAACAGGAGCACAATGATGAGACGAGAATCCAGGAAGTATGGGGCTCTCTTCCAAGCCCCGGGCTCAGTGGGTCGGGGAGCATGAACAGGCCTGTGCCCTCAGGCTTCCTCCCGAAGCCCGGCGGTAGGCGGCCATCGGGCTACCGTGTTCCAGAGCTGAGCCCCGAAGGCAGAAAGGAGTCAACTTAAAGAGGGAAACTAAAGCTAAACTCTAACTAAAAGGACTAACATGAGGAGGTTGGAGCGCCCCCTGGAGGAGAGGATGGTGACCGTGATACAGCGGTTGCGAGTGGAAGGAGAGAAAGCGGAGCGCGATCCTGTGGGCGCAGGGCTGTGGCGTCAGGAAGGAGCTGGCCAGCCGTGAGCTGGAGTTTGTTCCCTGGCTGCTCTCCGCAGATCCGCACGGGACGCCCTCCTCTAGTCTGACAGTCTCTCTCTCGCCCCTGCTCAGGTGGACTATGTCAACCCCAACTCCTACATCAACGTCATCATCGGAGTGTCCACCTTCCTCTCCTTCTACGGCTACCTGCTCTTCTACAAGGCCACCAAGAGGGCCCTGCATGGATACGGGCTGCGCGCCAAGTTCGTCTGCATCATCGTCGTCCTGGTGCTCTGCGGCCTGCAGAGCAGCATCCTGGAGACCATGGGGGCGCTGAGGGTCATCCCCTGCACGCCCCCGTTCTCCGACCTCATGCGCTCCCAGCGTACGTCCTGGGGGGCTGCTGGGTGGGAGGCAGGGGTGCTGAGGGCCTGAGCTGGTGTGAGACCCCTGGCCCAGAGCCGTCCAGCCCACTCCTGCACTGCAGCTCTGGCTGTCCTTGGGCTGGGGGCACAGTGGGACCACTGTCACTGGCCCTGGTCCTGGGCTGCCGGGCCTGCAGCTGTCTTTAACCCAGATCTGCGTCAAACAGCTCAGGTCTGGTCATCTTAGCCAAAATACTGCTTCATTTAGGTGATTAAGGAACAGGGAGCTGCAGTGAAATTTGAACAAGAAGATCCTGCAGCCCCTATAGCACAGTGCCGTCTTCCCACTACATGAGATTATCTCCCATCTTTCCCAAAAGGAGACAAACATCACAGCGAGGAGTCGGTCTGCTCAGTGTGAGGAACAGTGCACAGTGCTGCCGGTGCGCAGACTCCGTCACTGACCTCAGAGCGGGTCCATACTGAGGCAATACTGCCGAGAGCGGAGTATCTCCTCGCCTGCTCTTAGAGAACAGTGCTGCACAAGGAGATGCTGTGTTTAATCGTTGTGTTTTTCCATCACACTGCACACATCACAGCTGGTAGCAGGAGAGAAACACTTTCTGGAGCTGCTCATTGCATCTGTGG